CTTGGTTGCTGATTGGCTAATGGTTACACAAGACAACACATCGTTATGACATCATAAAGTGGCCAAAATCTGATCAGCTCATTTTCAGAATTTTATATAAATGGATCAGGTCAACAAGTGAGTAAATCTTTTTTCCTGAAACTTTCAGAATCTCAGGGGACACATATTTCTGTATAAAAGACATGAAAAAGTGGATTTTGCATAATAGGTGACATTCCTTTTGACGGATAAATCATATCATAACGGGATTTAATACAATATGGAATAGAAAAGAGCAAAGATTACCTTATGGCCCAGTGAAGAGGAGAGGAGTTCAGGTCACCACCAAGCTGATCAACTAATGACCCTTTAGAAATATAAAACCTGTTAAGGAAGAAAAAAAGAGAGGAAATTAAAACATTTCCTCTTTGAGGCGTGTTGTATTTCAGTTGGCTCAGGCGTTTGTAACTGCTCAAACACAACAGTTATCTGCAGGTCTTACTTGACCAGCTCTGCGCGGTTGTTGATGGCCGCCCAGTGCAGCAGAGTGACGTTCTCTTTGTCCGGCAGCCTGACGTCATATCCTGCATCCACCAGCTCCTTACAGCGCTCAAGGATACCGAACCTGAGAGGATCACACACAGAATAATAATACTATTAATAGTAACTCTCCATCGAATGCTTTAGTTTGCACAGTGCTCCAAAACAAAAATCGACAAAATACAGAAGCCTAAACATAATAAACTACTGCGATAGCTATAAAAACATTTGAGTCACAGTCATTTGATTGACGGTAGTTGTCAACCGTCAAACATGTATTTATTCATAGCTTTAGGCTGTGTAAAATAAATCTGCCGTATGTGTAGCCATAGTTACCAATATATTTACTGTAGTGAGATGAAAAGACAGGTAGGAGCGGCTCTGCAGATTATTATTATTTTTGACAATAAGTGTGACCTTTGTTCTGCTGCACCTCAATGCACTGATCAGAAAAATAAATTAATATTTCATTTTCCAGCAAGCACTGCCGAGTTTCTAATCTCCCCTAAAGCACACTGGCAGGTTTGAGCAGCTTGTGCTATAGTTGTATCTACCGGATAAAAACCCTCATCATATTTGACTTTTAATAAACACAGAGCTCTATGTGCATTCCTTAAGCTTTGTGTCATAACTCCTGTGTAAATACATTGTTCAAATAGTTGTCAGTGCCATACATTCACAATGGCATAGTCAGTTGTGTGTCTACTTCTCCTTCCTATGTTCCTAAAACAAAACTGTCTTACTGTTTTACACAAAACATGCCTCATTTTAAAAACATTCCTAGTAAAACATTTAACATGAGAATGAACAGAAAATATACCCCTGATGTTTCCTCCACCAATCTGTTATATGGTTTCAATATTTGGTTATAAGTTTGCATAGTTCCACATTATGGCTGATTTACAGAGATTGGTTGAAGAGTTGCACAAGAGTTGTGCAACCAAACACCAACTCCAATAATCAAGATGTGACATAGTTTCCTTTGTGGTTTTCATATTTTCAGTCATAAACCATTCAAAGGAAGGTTTCAAATGATTTCCTATATGTTGTTTTTTATGGTGATATTGTTAAAATGAAATATCTATTGCGAAATAAAACATGAGATCCTGAATACTGACACTACAGAAAAAGGTTTGACAGGAGCATCTGCAACCTTCAAAAAGTAGCAGTGTGTGGGCTCAGTGCTTGGACCTATTTTGTTCACATTATATATGCTTCCGTTAGGCAATATTATAAGGAATCATTCTGTAAACTTTCATTGTTATGCAGATGATACTCAACTATATTTATCAATCAAGCCTGATGAAATTAATCATCTAAATAAAATTCAAGACTGCCTCAAGGACTTAAAAACGTGGATGACCTTACATTTTTTGATGTTAAACACGACCAAAACTGAAGTTATTGTACTTGGTCCGAAGAATCTACAAAACAAATTATCTAAAGATATACTAACTATGGATGGCATGAATTTGGCCTCCAGTGAGACTGCAAGGAATCTTGGTGTTATATTTGATCCGGATTTATCCTTTAACAACCACATAAAATCAATGTCAAGGACCGCCTACTTCCATCTACGTAACATTGCAAAAATCAGGCATATCTTGCCTCAAAACGATGCAGAGAAACTAGTCCATGCATTTGTTACTTCAAGGCTGGATTATTGTAACTCCCTATTATCAGGGTGTACCAAGAAGTCAGTCAAGTCGCTTCAGCTGATTCAAAATGCTGCAGCTCGTGTACTAACCAGAGTTAGGAAAAGGGACCACATTAATCCTGTTCTGGCTGCCTTACACTGGCTCCCTATAGAACACAGGATAGAATTTAAAATTCTTCTTCTCGCCTACAAAGCCCTTAATGGGCAGGCGCCATCTTACCTTAAAGAACTCATTATACCCTACTGTCCTACTAGGGCATTGCGTTCCAAGAATGCAGGGTTGTTGGTTGTTCCTAGAGTCTCTAAAAGTACAATGGGAGCCAGAGCCTTTTCTTATCAAGCTCCACTTTTGTGGAATCAGCTTTCCAGTTTGTGTTCGGACGGCAGACACCCCTATCCCGTTTTTA